TATTAGGAAGAACTACTTCACTGTAAGGGTGGCCAGAGCCTGGAATAGGCTTCCCAGAGAGGTGGTGCTCTCACCTTCCCTGGAAATCTTCAAGAGGAGACTGGATAGGCACCTGGCTGGGGTCTTATGACCCCTGCCACCCCCAGTGCTCCTTCCTGCCCATGGCAGGGGGTCGGACTAGATGATCTCTCTAGGTCCCTTCCGACTCATTGATTCTATGATTCTCTATCACGTAGGGCTTCCCATGAAGCACGTGCAGCTCCCGGCACTGATGTGGCACTGGGGGAAGCCTCACGCAATAAAATCAACTGCGCATGCCTGAAGCTGATGCCGGAGCTGTGGAGCCTGGCACAGCTGTTTGCAGCCTGCCTGCTGCTTGCTGCAGCTGCCCAGAGCCCAGGCTAGCTACAAACAGCTGCACCAGGCTCCAGAGCCCAGTCACCAGCTCTGTGCCAGGAGCCAGGGAGAGACCAGGGTTGCACTGCCTTAGGCCCCTCCCCCACTGCCCGCTCCAAGGCGCACATGCACATGCACACACCGCTACAGAGCTGATGCTAGGGCTCCGGAGCCTGGCGCAGCTGTTTGTAGCTCCTGGCTGCAGCTGACCGGAGCCAGGGGTAGCTGCTGACAGCCAGAGAGCCTGCCACATACTCCCTGCCCTCATTTTGTTTTTCTGGCATACTGACACTCCAGCACCTTCCAAGGTAGGCATTGTGATGTTTTTCAGCACTCTGGCCAAAAAACATTGCCTACCCCTGGTATAAAATATAGGTGACAAAACTTACCCAAAACTAATTCTGAGAATATTATAAAAAGGTTGAAAACACTCTTCTAAGTTTTCAAAGCTTATTAACTTATCATATGTTACTATTCTAAATGAATGTGTTTCTATAGAGCTATCACAATATGTGGGCAATAGTGATCATCGCTTGCTGGAATTCGCCATCCAGCGTAGGGTGTCAAGGGCCCGCAGCAAGGCGGTAGCCCTAGACTTCAGGAGGGCCAACTTTGTTGAGATGAGGAGATTAGTGGGAGAGGCACTGGGGTCCTTGAGGGCAGAGGAACTCGGTGTCCAGGACGAGTGGACGTTCCTTAAGGAAACGATACTCACGGCCCAAGGGGTGTCCATCCCGACAAGAAGCAAGGGGGGCAGGAGTGTCCGTAAGCCCCCCTGGCTCAACAAGGGCGTCCGGGACTGCCTGCTCGCCAAAAAGGCGGCGTACGCCCGGTGGAAGGGGGGTGAAATCTCCAAAGAGGAGTATACCTACTCAGCTCGGGCCTGTAGGCGAGCTGTTA